CCAGAAGCCCCCAGCCTGTCACAGCCCCTGGGGAGCCCACACCCTCAGCTCCTGCTGGCTGCCGGGGAGCAGGGTCAGCAGAGCAGCTGCAGCCCCAGCTGCACAGGAGGAAAAGCAGGGGCCCAGGCCAGGCCAGGCCAGCAGCTGGTAAAGGGACACTCCCACTGGGGGCAGGACCCAGCCCCATCCCCGCCCCCACCCTGGGCTCAGGGCCCACCCCCAGCTGCCCTGGGCCTCCCTTCCTCTCCAGACTCCCTCTGCCAGGCCCTGGGGCTCATAGAGGAGCAGCCCCTCTCCCCTGCCCTCTGGCCCCACTTCCTTGGGGCTGAGGGGATGACAGGTGTTATAGGTACTTTGAGAGGGGGACATGGGGGAGACAGGAGCCCAGAGGAGGGGCCAAGGAAAGCATAAGGAAGAAGGCACCTCTGAGCTGACACCTGCAGATTCTGAAGTTCAACAAGCCCAGCTGGGGAGGAATGTTCCTGGAGGAGGAAGCCGCATATGCGACGCTGGAGCCTGAGAGAGAACTGGGACCCACAGAGTGGGGGCGTGACTGGGGCTCCAGAGAGGAGGGTGGCTGGCTCTGCAAGGTTCCCCAGGCCCTCCTGTGCGATGCCCGGCAAAGCTGCCCCACCTCCCGAGCGCAGGGACTAAGGCCCAGCTCTGGAGTCAGGCACGGTCCCCAGTCCACGGAAGGGGGCGATGCTGGACCCACACGGGACGGCAGGGGAACAAACACCCGCGAGGCGCCCAGCCCTGCGCCTGGCCCGCGGCGCGCGCCCTTCTGCGCCCTGGCCGGGAGCAGGCAAGGGTCAGCGCGGGCCAGGGAAGGTTTCCACAGCACCAACAGCACGGGGTTACCGGGTGACTGTCCACAGGGAGCGCGTCTCTACTGGCTGAGGGGGCGCATGCTTACTGCACGCCACATTCGATTGGTCCATGCAGCCGGCGTTCCGCCCACATCTCCAGGCTGCATTCTGGGTGCAGCCTGGCTCAGTCCCAGCCTCAGTGGGCATGACTGGGAAATGGGCGTAACCATGAGGTGCCCCTGGGAGATGTCTGGGTACAATGAAGAGCAGGAGGAGGAGGCGGTGGCGGCCACTGGGTATCCTTCAGGGTTCCCAGAAGCCAAGGAGAGGTCGGATGTGGATTCGGACACTGAACTTAAGACAGAAGGTGCCTGGAGCCGGGGCTTCAGGCCTGTCTCCTCACCTTGGGGGCTTCTAGGCAGGGGTGGAGGGGGCAGGCTGAGGCCGAGGGGGCAGGCTGAGGCCAAGGGGTCGGGGGACCCCAGTGCAGCAGAGAGCGCATCCCTCCGTGGGACACCTTCAGGGCAGCCGGCGGCCCCTCCAGCCTCCTGCCCTCCCAGAAATGCGCTTGGCAGCATCAGTTGTTCCACTATTAGAACACGCTTCCAGAATGATGTTAAAATACAAAAACCTAGTCAAACCATCTAAAAAGGGGTGTCTCACCCCTTCCTGAAACGGCATCAGGGCTGGGTTTCCCACCCCATGGGAAAACTATGCTGATGGATGTACAGAAATATAGAATTATTTCAGTGTTTTCCCCTATAAAATGTTCATAAAAGGTACGTGGTCTGTGATCCCACAGAAAAGACACAGCACGCACTTCGGTGTCAGGCAGGCGGGGTCCTAAGCCTGGCTCTGCCGGGATCAGCTACTCGCTGTGTGACTTTGGGGCAAGGATTTGCTGTCTCTGAGGCTCGATGTCCCCATCTGTATATGGGGCAGGAGTCCCTACCAGCCCAGGAAAAAATGCCTCTAGAGGGAAACAGTCTGGGTAGTGAGAGAGGGCAGGGGAAGAGGCAGGCGGCTGTGCCTGGGGAGGGGGCCACATGGACCCCTGTCTCTATCAGGCACCCATGGGCTCAGAGAAGTGGTCAAGGACACCGTCCACCTGAGGTCTTGCCAGGCCCACAGCCTCGTGCCTGCCTCCTGCTTCCTGCGCCAGGGACGCACCCCAGAGCTGAGCCTGAGGCGTCGTGGCCTGAGGCCCCTGGTACCGCTGGAGGGACCCTGGGGCCAGGCTTGGAGGGGAGGACCTGGGAGGAGCAGCCATGGAGTGGCCCTCCCTGAGCCCACCCCACACATTCCCCAGCCTTGCTCTGTGCCAGGTGTGTCCCATCCCCCACATCTGGGTGACAGATGGGATCCAGGCTCTGATGGAGATCAGTGTAAGGGTTGGGGAGCCTTCAGGGGGCCCCTAACGCACTGGGGGGTCAGGGAAGGCCCCAGGAGGTCTGGTGGAACCTAGAAGGAGAAGCAGGTGCCCCTGGGCCTGTGGGAAGGGGGATCCTTCCAGTTGGAGGGCATCGAGTGGGCTGAGCCCTGGGAACAGGAGCTAGGGCAGAGACCAGCTATATGTGGGGCCTTCAGCCCTGGGAAGGACCAGGCCTCTCAGGCCCCTCTGTGTCCCAGGGGGCCCGGGCTCTGGCTTCCACAATGACCTCCAATCTCGATGTCAAGCGGCTGGACCTGCGGGACAATGGGCTCTGTGGGGCCGGTACAGAGGCCCTGGCAGGTGCCCTGAGCCAAAGCAGCAGCATCTGTGGGAGGTGCCAAGACTGGGACAGGTGGGCTGACTTGAGTCTTCCCTTTCCTGAGGGCTGTGGGGCCCCCACAGCCAGGCCTTCTCCCCCTGGACCTGCTGGGTTGCTGGGGGAGGGGCCTCAACACAGGGTGGGGTGGGTGGGGATGGAGTTAGACCCTCTGTGGTGCACCCAAGGCTGGACGCCACTCCCTTCCTGACCCGCCCCACCTGTCCACCCCCTCCTCTGCTGGGCAGCACCCCCTGCAGATGGTGGCCTCCCTGTGCCTGACTACAGAGTGGGAGAGTCCTTCAACACAGAGAGATGGGGGCTGGCAGTGGGAGAGGAGGGAGGGCTGGGGGAGTTTGGTGGAGCTGGATCCAAATGCCACCTCTTCCACAGAAGATCAGGGTGACCCTGGGCAAGCAGCTAAACCTCGCTGAGCCTCAATTTTCAATCTGTGAAAATGAACCCAACAACACCACTTAGCCCTTGGGGCTGTGATGAGCATTAGATGCTGAGCAGAGAGTCTAGACCATGTAAGTGCTCCGTGCATGGCCTCTTGGGCTGTCATTGCCAGTCCCCGGAGATGCGGCTGTGAGGGCTTCTGTGGGGGTTATATTGCTGCCAGACACGAGTCATCAACAGGGCGGCTGCGGTTCCATCACAGTATTCTCCACAGCACCACAAAGGAGGTGGTTTAACCCCTTGACAAAAAGCTTGTAGACCCATGGGGTGGGGGTGGGGTATCCAGCAGATGGGTTGCAGAGTTGCCATGCAGCCCCTGGACAGTCCATCTGCAAAGCCCCTTCTACTGCCTCAGGCCTGGAGGTTTGGGGGATGGAGGAAGGTGGATGAGGGTGGTGCCTGACTTTAGATCTCACTGACTGGGGAGTGGTTCCGGCCCCCAGATGTGGACATTTTGAAGAACCAGCTGGGAGCAGTGACTACCCAGGGTGTGTTTGCCACCCTTGTGGTGAACCTGGTCATGCAGAGGGTATAGCTGGCATGGAGCAGCCTGGAGGAGCAGGGGGCCCATTACCTTGCTGAACTCCTGCTGGCTCACAAGTGCCTGAAATCCCTGGACCTTCTTTCTGGTGATTTTAGGTTGCTTTCTGAAACAGGTGGGTCTAGGGTGGCCTATAACAGCTGAGGGGCCAAGCAGGTCCCATCCAGCCTGGGCCACCATGGGACCCATCTTCCTGGGTCAGGGGTGGGTGGAGGTTGGCAGGACCACTCTGAGCATCCATACTCTGTTGTCTGCTCCCCACATCCCACTTCAGGTTCCCCTTTACCACTCCTTCCACACAGAACTCTTACTCCATTCCCTGGATATCTAGTTGCCCGCTGCTGCCTGTGCTGGGCACTGACTTAGCCACTAGGGACCCAGGGTGAACAAGACAGAGGCCTTGGCCTCAAGGAACACACATTAACAAGGTCACTTTGGGCCGGCCCCATGGCTTAGCGGTTAAGTGCTCCCACTCCGCTACTGGCGGCCCGGGTTCAGATCCCGGGCGCACACCGACGCACCGCTTCTCCGGCCATGCTGAGGCCGCGTCCCACATACAGCAACTAGAAGGCTGTGCAACTATGACATACAACTATCTACTGGGGCTTTAAAGGAAAAAAAAAAGGGAGGAGGATTGGCAATAGATGTTAGCTCAGAGCCGGTCTTCCTCAACAAAAAGAGGAGGATTAGCTGGATGTTAGCTCAGGGCTGATCTTCCTCACAGAAAAATAAATAAATAAATAAAACTGTTAAAAAAAAAAAAAGGTCATTTTCCATAATTATTGATGCAACAAAAGAAATGAATAGAACGTGTCACTAGAGAAGAATGGGAATCCCTGCTTAGATGGTGGCCAGGGTGGCCTCTGTGAGGAGGTGACATTGAAGCTGAAATAAGCAGGGTAGGGAGGAATCAGCCACGGCAAGACCAGAGGGAGTGCATTTCAAGCAGAGGAACAGAGAGACTGCTGGGAAGATGGCAGCATAGGAGGACTCTGGACTCCTTGCCTCCTACAGACACAGTAAACCTACAACTACCTTTGGAACAATTACCCCTGAGAGAGAACTGCAAACTGGATAAATGAACCCCCACAACAAGGGACAGTGCTGCCTGAGGTGGAAGAGGCAGAAATTCCTTTCTGGAGAGGAAAAATGGCTACCTTCTAGCCATTACATTTCAAGGCCTGGAGTAATTTTAAGGCATGAAGAATTGTCTGGAGGAGTGGGGCATCTGAGTGGAAGAGCTTTGCCACTACAAGCAGCTTTTGGACTCAGCATAACTAAGAAAAGTGTCATAATATCTGGCTTTGCTGGCTATTAACAACAATGGGGAATACCCCCAGAAAAGCCATCGAATGTAAGGGAAAGAAAAAAGCCTTCTCTTAAAGGGCCCATGAACAATTCCACCCATTTTGGTAAGCAACCTAAAATCACCAGAAAGAAATGTGTACAGTCCTTTGGTGAAAAGAGACTCATTTGATAGTCTCTGGGTACCTCTCAGTGAGAGGTGAGACCTCCCCAGGCTGGGACCACCTCCCAAGGGACTGAGACTTTGGTGGCAGCCATTATTGTGACCTAGTACAGGTGTGCTGACACAGATGCTGGCAGATGCCGTTGGAGTTCTTCCCCTGGCCTGATATCCCAGGGGTCTGCCCCACCCACTAGAGCACTGATTTAATCCAGTTCAGCCAGGGCAGGCAGCCCACCCTAGGGACTGGCCCCACCTAACAGCAAGCCCTGGGGCAACTGTGGGCCCACATAGGCAGGGTGTGTGGGACCTCTGCAGTGGGGTGAATACGTCTGCTTCAGTCGGTCAGGTTATGTGTACAGAGCAGGATTGTATTTATAGAGTGTGAGGGCCTGCAGGTGGTGGGGCTTGTCAGCTGAAGCAGACTTATTCTTCTCAGACAGCCACATAGGGGATTGGCCCCACCTTCCAACACCTGAGACAATTGTCTGCTGCCATGCCTGGGGCCAGCCCCACTCAGCTGCACTACTGAGAGCTGACATCCTTGCAGGCTGCATGCCTACAGCAATTGTGAGCTCCTGAGTATAGCAACCAGCCACGCTGGGGGCCTACGCTCTTAACAGATAAACTGCAGCAGGAGTGTGCTATTAGACCTTGTAGCTAACTGTGCTGAGGCTTTCCACGCCCGATAAAGTGACTGAAGTGATCACAGCAGCTGCACACAGCTGAGCATTACAACCAGCCAGCCACGGGGACAGACTAGCCTCCCCATGCACCTGCAGCAAGAACAACCCTACCACAACAGAAGGACACATGTAGCCCACACAGGTGACACTCCTGGAACATTTGGAGCTGGTGATGAGAGGGAAGCACACTGCTGGGCCTCATAAGACATCTCTTACATAGGGCCACCTCTCCAAGATCAGGAGATGTAGCTGATCTACCTAATACATACATATAAGCACAGAGAAAGAGGCAAAATAAGTAGACAAAGGAATATGTTCTAAATAAGGGAATAAGACAAATCATCAGAAAAAGAACTAAACAAAACAGAGATTAAACAACCGGCCTGATAAATAGTTCAAGCTAGTAGTCATATGGATGCTTACTGATCTTGGGAGAAGAATGGATAAATTCACTGAGAACTTCAACAAAGAACTGGAAATATAAAAAAGAACCAATCAGAAATGAAGAATACAATAATGGAAATGAATAATTCACTAGAGGGTCTCGAAAGCAGAGTAGATGATACAGAAGAATGGATCAGTGAACTGGACAGAAGGCTAGAGGAAATCACTCAAGCTGAACAGATAAAAGAAAAAAGAATTTAGAAGAATGAGGACAGTCTAAGTGACCTCTGGGACAACATCAAGCTCACTAATATCCATATTATAGGTGTCCCAGAAGGAAAAGAGAGAGACAAAGGGGAAGAGAATCTATTTGAAGAAATAAAAGCTGGAAACTTTCCTAACCTAAGGAAGGAAACAGACATCCAAGTACAGAAAGTACAAAGAGCACCAAACAAGATAAACCCAAAGAGGTCCACACCAAGACACATTATAACTAAAATGTCCAGAATTAAAGATAAAGAGAGAATCCTAAAAGCTGCAAGAGAAAGGCAACAAGTTACATACAAAGGAAACACCATAAGGCTATCAGCTGCCTTCTCAAGCAGAAACCTTATAGGCTAGAAGAGAGTGGCATGATATATTTAAAGTGTTGAAAGGAAAAAACCTACAGCCAAGAATACTCTACCTAGCAAGGTTATCATTCATAATGGAAGGAGAGATAAAGAGTTTTCTAGATAAGCAACAATTAAAGGAGTTTATCACCAATAAACTAGGCTTACAAGAAATGCTAAAGGGACTTATTTAAGTGGAAAAGAAAAGACCACAAACAGGAATAAGAAATATACCAACAACAACAACAACAACAAAACAATAGAATCACTGGTAAAGGCCAATATACAGTAAAGGTAGCAGATCAACTACCTATGAAGCTAATATGAAGGTCAAAAGACAAAAGTACTAAAATTATCTATTTCCATGATAAAAGGGTAACATGCACACACACAAAAAAGAGTTTAGATATGACATCAAAAACATAAAGCGTGGGAGGAGGGGAGCAAAAGAGGGGAGCTTTTAGCAAGAGGTCAAACTTAAGAGACCATCAACTTAATATAGACTGCTATATACATTGGTTACTATATATGAACCTCATGGTAATCACAAATCAGAAACCTATAATAAATACACAAAAAATTAAGAGAAAGGAACCCAGACATAATACTAAAGAAAGCCATCAAACCACAAGGGAAGAGAGCAAGAGAGGAAGAAAGGAATGGAGAAGAACTGTTAAATCACCTAGAAAAGAAGTATCAAAGTGCCAATAAGGCGCTGGCCCCATGGCTTAGCGGTTAAGTGCGCACGCTCTGCTACTGGCGGCCCCAGTTCGGATCCCTGGCGCACACCGATGCACTGCTTCTCTGGCCATGTTGAGGCCGCGTCCCACATACAGCAACTAGAAGGATGTGCAACTATGACATACAACTATCTACTGGGGCTTTGGGGAAAAAAAAGGAGGAGGATTGGCAATAGATGTTAGTTAAGAGCCTGTCTTCCTCAGCAAAAAGAGGAGGATTAACACAGATGTTAGCTCAGGGCTGATCTTCTTCACACACACACACACAAAAAAAGTGGCAATAAGTACATACTTATCAATAGATACTTCAAATGCCAATGGACTAAATGCTCTAATCAAAAGACATAGGGTGGCTGATCAAAAGACATAGGGTGACTGATTGGATAAAAAAACAAGACCCATATACATGCTGCATACAAAAGACACACTTCAGACCTAAAGACACTCACAAACTGAAAGTAAAAGGATGGAAAAAGACTCCACACAAATGGCAATGAAAAGAAAGCTGGGGTAGCAATACTTATATCAGACATAATAGGCTTTAAAACCAAAACTGTAACATGCAACAAAGAAGGGCACTAGATAATGATAAAGGGAACAATCCAACAAGAGGATATAACACTTGTAAATATCTGTGCACCCAACATAGGAACAGCTAAATGTATAAAGCAATTATTAACAGACATCAAAGGAGAAATAGATGGTAACACAATAATAGTAGGGGATTTGAACACTCCAGTTCACCAATGGATAGATCATCCAAACAGAAGATGAACAAGGAAACATTGGCCTTAAATTACACATTAGACCAGATGGACTTAGTAGATATATACAGAATAGTCCATCCAAAACCACAGAATACATTCTTTTTGAATGCACCCAGAACATTCTCCAGGATATATCACATATTAGGCCACAAAACAAGTTACAATAAATTTAACAAGATTGAGATAATACCAAGCATCTTTTCTGACCACAACAGTATGAAACTAGAAATCAACTACAGGAAGAAAACTGGAAAAGCCACATATATGTGGATATTAAACAAAATGCTACTGAACAACGATTGGGTCAATGAAGAAATCAAAGGAGAAATCAAAAAATACCTGGAGACAAGTGAAAATGAAAATACGACACACCGAAATTTATGGAATACAGCAAAAGCAGTTCTAAGAGGGAGGTTTATAGCAAAACAGACCTACCTCAAGAAACAAGAAAAACCTCAAATAAACACTCTAACGATGCACCTAAAGGAACTGGAAAAAGAAGAACAAACAAAGCCCAAAATCAGTAGAAGGAAGGAAATAATAAAAATTAGAGCAGAAATTAATGAAATAGAGACTAAAAAAAAATTAGAAAAAAATCAATAAAATTAAGAGCTGGTTTTCTGAAAAGATAAAGAAAATTGAAAAACCTTTAGCTAGATTCACCAAGAAAAAAAGAGAGAAGGCTCAAATAAATAAAATCAGAAATGAAACAAGAGAAGTTACAACAGACACCTCAGAAATGCAAAAGATTATAAGATAATACTAAGAAAAGCAATACATCAAGGTAGATAATCTAGAAGAAATGGATAAATTCTTAGAATGATACAACCTTCCAAAACTGAATCAAGAAGAAATAGAGGATTTGAATAGACCAATCACCAGTAAGGAGATCAAAACAGGAATCAAAAACCTCCCAAAAAATAAAAGTCCAGGACCAGACTACTTCCCTGGTGAATTCTACCAAACATTCAAAGAAGACTTAATACTTATCCTTCTCAAACTCTTCCAAAAAATTGAAGAGGAGGAGAAGCTTCCTAACTCACTCTGTGAGGCCAACATTACCCTGATACCAAAACCAGACAAGGACAACACCAAAAAAGAAAATTACAAGCCAATATCACTGATGAATTTTGGTGCAAAAATCCTCAAGCAGAGGAATAGTGAACACATGGACCTATTTCTCAGACTGACAGACACCACTGTGACGGGGCTATTGGGCCAGGGCACAGTGGACAGGCTGTGGGGTGGAGAGGCAACAGGGGGCTACAAATCATGGAAGAAGGCATGAAGATTTTATTCCGAGTCTGTGGAAGACATCAGTGGTGTTCCTTTCTCTTACCACTTTCTCTCAAGTCCCAAGGCCTTTTCATGGGCTGTTTGCTTTGTGAGGTACATGGAGGTCTACTTGCCTGTCCTCAACCACTCCAATCAATTATAAGAATCACCTGGGACCCTGGATTAGGAATACAGATTCCTGGGCCTTGGACCTGCTGCACCAGACTCTTGGGGGGGATGCCTGTGCATCTGCATGTTAGCAGGAGCCCCAGGAGATTGGTCTGATTGAGAAAGTTTGGGAGTCACTATTCTCTCTCAAACTGCATAGAGCATGTTGTGTGGCACCAGCTTTGGCCTGTGAGAATCAGCCCTAGAATCTAACTGCCAAAGAACCGGTTTAGATCCTAAGAAAATTATCGTAGAAAGTCAGTGAAATTAAAAGAGAAGCTCATTTCAGACTTTCAACAAAACAAGTATTGGGGTCCCTCTGGACCTGCACGGTCAGAGGGCGAGCACCAGAGAGGCAGCCAGGAGGGAGGGGCTGGAGGCTAAGGCCCTGTGGAGGCTGCACAAGTACGGGACGGGGGCGGTCCCCAGCCTGGAAAAGGACAGACCCATCAGGGCCGTTTTGTTTCCCCAAGTGGAGATCTGTGGGTGAGCCCAACTCCCTGGAGGGTGAAGGAGCTTGGGTCTCAGTCTCCCCACCTGACCCATGACGATTGTAGCACCTGCCACATAGGTTGGCTGCAGGGATCACAAAGACCAAGCTTTGGAACTGCAAGAGGCTGATTCCCGCCTGTAAAAGAACCTTCTCATCCTCCAGCTGTCTCTTCTCATCCTCAAGCTCCAGGAAAGAAGGGGCTTCCCTACAAAGTGGGAGACCACTGCCCTCTCCTCCCAGCCCTGGAAGTGTCTGAGGAGGAGGAAAGTACCCCTATCTGGAACCTGTGGGGGTCAGACCCAGTGCTGGGCATGGAGTCTGGAGCCCTGTTCTCAGGGAGGCAGCACAGGGGCCTCCCTGCCTTGCAGGGAGCTCTCCAAGGTGCTGAAAGTGTCTGACTAGGTGTGTTCTCGCCCAGAGGGCTGGCTGAGCACCCTGCTCAGTCAATGCATCTGTTTTCCTCTGTGCGTTTCTTCAGACCAGACTTACTAGACCTGTGCTCAGTGCTGGGACCGTGGAGAGGGGTCAAATTCAGACCCCTGAGGGACTCCTAGGCTGGTGGAGAGACTGGCCATGCAGAGAGAGGTCTAACGGCTAGAGTCTGGAAGGATGGAAGCACAGTGGACATGGGGCCCAAGGCGGCCAAGCCCAGCTAGGAGGGCAAGCCTTCCTGACACTGTGACCCCAGGTTAGAAGGATGAGGAGCTGTTAGCCGAGAAGGGAGTCGACAATTCCACATGGGGGACAGCCCAGAGGCATGTTGGTCCCGGCACTTTTGAGAACTGGCCGCAGGTCAGACTGGCTGAGTGCTGACAGTGGAGAGCAGGGTGTGTGAGTGGGTGGGGCTTCTGCCCATTTTAATTACTGGATATCTTTTTTTTTTTTTTTTTATGTGAGAAAGACTAGCCCTGAGCTAACATCCGATGCCAATCCTCCTCTTTTTGCTAAGGAAGATTGGCCCTGGGCTAACATCCATGCCCATCTTCCTTTACTTTATATGGGACGCCGCCACGGTATGGCTTCACAAGCTGTGCCTCGATGCCCTCCTGGGATCTGAACCTGAGAACCCCGGGCCGCCGAAGCAGAGCATGCGCACTTAACTGCTGCGCCACCTGATGGCCCCTGAATATCTTTTTTACATGCTGACTATCTCTCAGGGTTTCTTAACCCCACAGGCCCCCACTTTCCTTTCTCTACCACCCCTGCCTCCTCTCCACCACAGCGGGGCTGGCCTTGTCACTTCTTGCCTATAGACTATGGTACAAGCCTTGAACTGTCTCCTGGCCTCTCATCTCTGCCCCTGCCCACCCCAGTCCATCCCTCCACCCACTGCTAAGGAATGCAGCCTTGTCGCTTCTTAAAGCCCTCCCTGTCTCCATACCCCTGATAGGGCGGTGCCCAAGACCCTTGTCCTGGCATTCAAGGCTCTCAGCATCTCTGAAGTACCCATAGCTCCTACCTCATTTCACTGCCTCTCCCCCACCCACCACCAGTGCCAGGCCTGCATGCATTTCCACTAGTGCCCCATGCTCCCTCAGCCTCCACACATTCTCTTTCTTGTGTCTTCCCTCCACTGTGCATGCACACATGCATGGGGAGTCCCTCAGTCCTCAAGGTTATCTCCTCTGTCCTCACTTTCCTGGCCACCCCCCAGCCAGGGTAAGCCCCCAATCTGTTCCCACGCCTCCCTGTTTGTAGTCTAGAATAGTTCATATCCCATTCATTTGTATTTATGTCTCCCCCATTACATGTGAAATCCTTGAGGGCAGGGCAGGCCCATTTTGGGTTCAACTCCATGACCCTCGTGCCCAGCAGAGACCCCAGCACACAGCAGGCATCAGTATCATTTTCTGAGGGAATAAAGAGTGAATAAGAAGGTCTCTCTTGGTGTTTCTGAAGGAGAGATGCTTGGACCAGCCCTGGCAGAAAACACAGGATTCACCGAGCTTAACATGAGCTGGAATCACCTTCGAGGCCCAGGAGCCTTGGCCTTTGCCAGGGGACTGGAGGTATGAGGCCCCCACCCATCAGCCTCTCCAGCCTGTTTTGTGGGGGCAGGTGCCAACTCCCCGTCTCTGCAGCTCTTCAGAAATGAACCTTGGATCTTTTCAGGAGAGCTTCAAGAATATTTCTTTAAGTGACTTTGATGTTCCCAGCTCCACTTAGTGACGACAGTGTTCCATCTCTCTGTGTCTGAAGCTGACTGTCACACACCTTCTCCAGATGTCACAGACACTCGGCTGCTGGGGACATGGTGCAGTCCAGTGACACATGCTGGCTGTTGGGCGTATGCAGATGCTTCCTGAGAGGACACCCTGGCACCCGTGGGTCCCAGCACACTCTCAACAGCCCACCTACTCCCTTGGAGGTTGTGGCTTGTAGGCCACAGGAATGGGTGGCTCCAGCCCCTACCATGGTGACGCAGGTGCCTGCAGTGCTCCTGGAGCCGGCTCCCTCTGTGGGTCCTTTTCAGGGAACGGCAGGTGCTGCCATGCCCTCTGACAGGGGCTGACCTGGGGTCCTTCCCACAAGGTGGCAGGTCAGACTTTGTCTTCCCAGCACATCCACAAGCTTCACCCTTCTACCCATCACAGCCCCACAATGGCCCTTCGCTGGAGCCCCCCTGGGCCCCTGGGCTGCTCTGTGCCTTGGGGTCCCGCCCATTGAGAGGCCCCGGAGTGGGCATGTGGCCTGATCACTGTGTCTCTGTGGTCTGCTGCCACATAGTAGCCCTCCAGTCTCTGAGGGTCATTCACATCCACACCCTCTCTCCTCTGTGCTTCCAGGGGTTCGGCTCCACTGCTCACCACCATCCAAAACGTAAGACACTAACCTGGTCTCTGCCCTTCCACACTGGGCTCTTTGCACCTTGGGCCTCCTGGGCTCTGAGGCTGTGGCCCCTGACTTTCTCCACTGTCACATGTGCTCCCATGTCTTCTCTCTTTTGCATTCCAGCCAAACATCTTCCTGAGAGTCCTGGACATCTCCAACAATGGCTTTGGAGATCCGGGAGCCTCCGTGGTGGGTGAGGCACTTCAGACCAACAACATGTTGGAGGAACTCAACATGAGGTGAGGGACACGGGGTATCCCCCGTGTCACAGTCTCCAGGCCCAGAGCCACCCCAAGGACCAGGGGCTCCATGGCCTTGCAGCTGTTCACCACTTTACTTTCCAAACCTACCACAGTCTACCCATGATGGAGCCTGAGCCACAACACAAGAGCACCCAGCTCCAGAAGGACGGAGCTGGAGTTCATCATTCGAACACTGGGGCTCGTAATTCCCACGGCACAGGTGGGGGGCTGGGAATTGCACACATACGTGTGAAGCATCTTCAGAGAGCCTGGTGCAGGGTGGGTGCTCACATGCTCTGCTCGGCACACGGCTGCTGGGGACCTGCTGTGTGGGCTGCTCCTCCAGACCCAGGCAGGGTCCCAGGCCTCAGCAGGTGACCAGAGAGGGGCCGCAAACCAGAGGGAAGGAAAGAGGCAGAGACCCAACAGGTGATGGGCTGCCAGAGTGATCAGGGCCTGCCCACTGCAATCTTGCCCACCTTTGCTCCCCATGGAAGGAGCCAAGGCCAGAGGAGACCACAAGAGATGCTGAAATTTGAGGCCAGAGCTGGGGGCTGAGGAGTCAGGGA